CCTCAGAACACCTGTCGCATTATTGTATGAGAAATGGTTAGATCCTCAGGAAAAAGAAGATACCGTAATAGAATATGTTTTCGAATTAATCAATAGGTTAAAGAAAAGTAGAGAATTAGCTACAGAGAAAATGGAAGAGGTGAGGTGAGAGACAAAAGGAAGAAATGGTATGACAAAAATGCCGTGAAAAGGGAATTCCAGCAAGGAGATTCTGTATTAGTATTAGCAGTGAACCAACCCCATAAACTCGCTCCTCAATGGAAAGGGCCGGGGAAAATAGAGAAAAGATTATCAGAAACAAACTATGTGGTTAGTTTTGAAGGGAATCAGGAAGGGAATAAAGTGTATCACATCAATATGTTAAAACCTTATCATAAGAGACCTGAACTTTTGAATATGGTGCTCCTTGACAACGAGGATATAGTTGAACCCTCGGAATTAGAGGAGGATTTTCCTTATATGTTAACCGACCCCAATGTGTTTGATTTTAATGAAATAATAGCAAAAGATAATCTTAAAGAAAGACTTAGTGATGAACAAATCCTGCAGTTGGGAAAGTTGTTGGTAAAGTTTTCTGCTATATTTTCGAATATTCCAGGGAAAACAAATTTAGTCGAACATGATATCGAACTAATCAGTGACAAACGCGTACAGCATAAGCCTTATAGAATGACAAATCGACAGAACGAAATTCTTAAAGTCGAGATTGAAAAAATGTTAAAATACAAGATTATTGAACCAGGACCCTCTGAGTATACTTCACCCATGATCCTTGTTGAAGCACCAGGTAGGGATCCTAGGCCGTGTATTGATTACAGAAAGTTAAACGAAATAACGCGTACTGAGTTCTATCCGATCCCCAATATAGAGCAACGTGTTGAAACTGTTGCAGCAGCCAAATTTATCACCTTGATAGACTTAACTAAAGGTTATTGGCAAATTCCGCTGACCCCTAGGGCTCAGAAAATTGCTGCATTTGCTACAAATTTTGGCGTATATAGGCCTTTGCGAATGCCATTTGGGCTTAAAAATGCTCCTTATTATTTTAGTAAAATGATGAGCGAAATATTGTGCGGATGTGAGAAATATGCGACCCCTTATTTAGATGATATTGCTATTTTTTCTGAAACGTGGGAGGAACATTTACAACATTTACATGAAATTTTAGAAAGAATAAGAAAAGCCAATTTAACTATTAAACCCTCTAAGTGCAAGTTTGCACAAGAAGAAGTGCAATATCTCGGTCACATAGTAGGTCGAGGAAAACGTTCTCCAGCAGAACTAAAAATCGAAGCGGTTCAAAATTTTCCTGTTCCCACAACTAAAACTGAGATTAGAGCTTTCTTAGGGTTAGCTGGATACTACAGACAATATATACCTATGTTTTCTGCTATAGCCGCACCTTTGACAGATTTGTTAAAAGGGTAAAATTGTTTGGAATGATGAATGTAATGAATCATTCAAATCGTTAAAAGAAAAGCTATCTAGTAGGCCTGTGCTACATGCACCCGATTTTTCTAAACCATTTATACTACAGACAGACGCATCAGATCAAGGATATGGTGTTGTTTTAGCCCAGAAAAGGATGATAAAGGAAAAGAACATCCCATATTGTATCTCAGTAAAAAATTTACTGATAGTGAGCGGAAGTATTCCACCACTGAAAAAGAGTGTGCCGCAATTCTGTATGGAATAAAAAAATTGAAAGGGTATATAGATGGGCAGACTAAATTTTCAATTCAAACGGACCATAATCCCCTAGTATGGCTAAAAAATAATGCAGGTAGAAATGGTCGATTATTACGCTGGGCCTTAGCCTTGCAATCTTATAATTTTACGATACATCATAAAAAGGGAAGTGACAACTTAAATGTAGACTGCTTAAGTAGAAACTCTGTACATGCCAGTTAAATAGACTAGTTATCATTTCTTTTAAATTGTCTTGTTATTTGATTATGTATATTGTATTTTTTTTAAATTCATACTATATAGTAAATTGTTAGCTTTATTCTTAAAGACAAAAGTTTTGTGTTGGTTTTTCATATATTGTATATGTATTTTATATGTGTTTTTTTATGATGGCCTGGTTATGAGAGTGGAGAGAACCTTTGTAACAGTGTGGTTTAAAATTAACTGGTAAAATGTTGAACAATCTCTATTGAAACCAGAAACTGTGAACTGTGAAGGTTTACTTCTCCTGTGTCCGGAGAAACAAAAACTGGAGGCGGAAGGTGTTTGTTTGTAGCGAACGCCTGCCTGAACTTGTATTTTATCCCGTAGGAACTTAAAAAAAAAAAAGTTTTGTTTCCTCTGTGTCCGAGGAAAACAAAATCTGGAGGCGGAAGGAGTTAGTCTGTAAAGAACGCTCCTGAACTCTACTAGAAAGACCTATGATGCTCTTGACTAGAGAGAACGTCGTTAGCAAACTCCTCACACTACGAGTACTATAATTCATTTTTAACACCTATTTTAAAGAACTGTGAATGGCAACGACTTAACTGAGGAATACGCATGCGTAAAGAGATGAGACTTCTGTTGAGAGGCCTGTGAGAGAGAGTTTTTGGGAAGCTCCGCCAGCGAGCTGAGGTGTGGAGACTTTGTTTGTCGAGTGATGACGAGTACCATCTTCGTTAACGTCTCTGATCGTGTCACCAGCTCGGATATCTACTAAAGTTTTCTAAATGTATTAATGTTGTATCTGTGATATGTTGTGTTATTAAAAAGTGATGCATCACCACTATCAGTGTTGATTCCGTTCCCACTGAAGCATCCACGACGTCACAATATGTTGCCACACGGTAAAGTGTAAGATATTATGTTTCAGATTTATGAAAAAATTCAGCTAATTAAGAGAAATGTGTTGCTAGAGACGAAAATAAAATATTTTCATCTTCCACGCACAAGAGTGTTGCCATTTAAAAAACTGTAAAATAGACACTAAATTTTTCTTTCGAAATTGATAAGTCTGTAATTGATTAATAAACTAAGGAATTTAAAAGCAATAAACAGAGTTCTTCAACGTTATTACTATACTCACCAGGTGGACTCGTGATTACACTAGATGAATTAATAAATATCATCATATAATATTTCTTTTTTATTACAATTTTTTTAGGAGCTTGGCCGTGTTAGCAGCTAATTAATTTAAACAAAAAATAAAAGAAGGAGAGTTAAAGTAGGAAAATAAATTTCAAAAGGTACAAAAATTATTCCGAAATTTAATAATTTAACGAAAATAAATTATTAAAAACAGCAAAGGATTAAAAAGAAAAGGATGTGGACACTAGATTACATTAAATTATATTAATCTAAGACACTAGATTATATTATAAACATTTTCTAGATTATATTGTTGCGTTATCTTCTGACACCAGTTGTTAGGTTATTATCTTCCTTCACGTTCATACGGGATTTGTAGATTTGGAGTGAATAACGACGACACTTGATGAAGTATCGAAACACACTTTATTGGCCGATATTAATCAGGACAACTCCAAAATCTCGTTTACAGTCGTCGAACTGTTATAAACACGTTGACACGATCAGCGATACAGCTTTTAGGTTATCAAGCTATCACGGTGCAGACAGCTTCACTGCAAAGCACCCGACTCTGCTTTCCGGAGTACAGCTTCCGACTCTGCTCGGTCGTTCTCGGAACTCCACGTACTCTCGAGACTCGCGATGCACTCGACGACACACAGAGCACAGCTCCTGACTCTTCGGTTCAGTCATTTCCGGAACTCAACACGCTCTCTCGACGATGCACTAACCGCGATACTCTAAGAGACTCTTTCGGTGCACTCAACGACCCACTCGGCACTCGCTGGCCGGCTGTCAACGCAAACGCCTCCGCAGGCCGGCTGTCAACGCAAACGCCTGACTCACTAGACGAGACACACTCACTCGATGAGAGACGCACACTTACTGACTACGGACCAGCAGGGTTTATATAGCTTTCGGCTTGTGTTCGAGAACATTCTGGGCAAAACCGGTAAGAATTCGTTCCAGAAGGTTCTCCATCAGTCCATGGCATATCGCCAATTCTGTCGCCAAATGGGCGATTTCTTGCCAATGTGGCAACACTGCCTTCCTTGCTATTTTATGGCAACCCTAAAACTGCTTTGCGGGGAACCCGTTTTACCGCGCCTGTACCTTTCGTAACAATATTATACATTTCATTTAAATTTATTTCCTGGAATTTCATTACAGATATATTTCTCATTCAATCAATTCAATTCCCGCTTCGCGCCAAGGCGAAAATACATTAAAACTCAAAACATCTTCATTAAACATTGTAAAATATAGAAAAATCTAGAACATCAAATACAGTGGGAAAAAATTCTGCAATTAAAATAACAGTTTTCTAAGCAAAAACATGGAATTTGGTCGACAGACAGAAAGACAAAATTTTCGGGACACAAGAATTTACCCTTAGCTTTTGACCTCACTGAGTAAAAAGATAATTCAGTTGGTGCATCAGCTGATTTAATTCACTAAACTACCGAGAGTTTCAAATATAAACAGCCGGCACATTAGGTCTAGCGCCATTTCCATTTTTAACTATTTCATGCAGATTAATTAAAGGCATAAAAACCTTAACCGGAACATAAGAACAACAGACTTCAATAGCTTTAAAGCAAAAAATGCACGATTTTTCAACCTAAAAGAGTAAAAAAAAAAAAAAAAAAAAGAGCTCACCAAGCCGGGTAAGAGGGTGGGTACATATATGTTTGGTGCTGCTGATTACAACGAAAAAGAGAAATACACATCTAGATGTTATAGCAGTTCTACAGCTAATCGGTTTTGAGCTATGCAAAATACATACATATATGCGTACCCACGTGTGTAGAAACGTCATTAAAAAAAAAAAAAAAAAAAAAGAAAGCCCTGTTAAACTTCCATTATCAAAAAATTCAAACGCCCGTCACTCAAGAACGAGCCGCTTATTACTTTCTCACACCGAAGAGCACTCGACACACTGACAGACAGAAGAGTCTCACTTTCAAAAAGTTCTGGATCCAGAGGTTTTCTTCTTTTACTCCTGGAGAACACTCGAGAGATGGAACCCCAGGTGCCTTTCTTCTCCTTGGCTTTCTTCTTCACGCTGCTCATTCCTCCCATCTCGGAGTTGAAGATGTCCTCGGCAGATCTCGACAAGAGACTAGGGCGATGTTCTGGAGATAAGGTTTGAATTGTGAGGCCTGAATGGACGGAGAAAAGAAAAAGGTTACAGAATTATTGTTCGAAACATAAGGATAGAATAGAATTCAGCCAAATTTATAACTCATTATTAAATTATGAAACTTCAATTAAATAATCTAAATGCATTCTATTTTTCATGGATAAAAAGAAAAACTAAATAATTCTTTACCAGATATATAACAAAATGTTCTAGAAATATCCTTTATTAACTAAAATAATGTATATTTAATAAATATTATCAGTTGGTCATATTATAAACTAAATGTATTTAAAATCATACTAATTAGAGAGATTATTAAAATAAAGTTAAGTCGATGATCACCGCCTAGGCCACTGGTCATCTGTGATTTACAGGCTGATGTCAACGATGTGGAACATCGTAACATAAATACAGATTATTAACATAAATTTGGAGCAAAAATTACTGGCTACCGTCAAGGCCACTGATCAGCTGCGGAGCAACACCATAAATTTAGATACAGTACAAAAACATCGTTAAACTAACAAACGCCGATGATAGTCGATGCAAGATAATAGGCCATCGGTGTTGACGTTTTCTGGTGACACGTAAGCTAACCGTCACATACCTGACAGGTCAGTTCATAGGCCATCGGCGATAGAAACGTGAGGCTATAAAATTTAGATAGATTTTATAATGAAATTAAACCGACGGGCAGCGAAGACTGCCGATACAATTAGCTACTGGTTACTTACGAACTGATGGTCACCAGCGGTGGACCCGCGGATCATCGGTGTGGGCTGGTGAAGTGAGAGATTCTGTATACCGGTGTTTAACACCAGGGTGCCTAAGCACAATGCCTTAACCTTTGTAGAACATGTTGAAATTTCCGAAATAAATTCTGACAAGTAACAGGGTCACAAGTTCTAAATTCTGTAAAACAACTGATGAATAATTATTCAGAAGTACAGCATCATTCACAAAAAAATATGGAAATGTTAGTCATTGTGTGGGAGTACATGCCTATGTTAAGTGTTTTGATGAAGTTTGATAACATTAGGTTGACAAATGTTTCTCTGCTTTTAAATATACCGTGAGTCACAGGATTAAGAATTACAACAAGAACGATGCATCGAATTGGGAGACCAGGATACCTATTAAAGTAGTTGGTGAATGATTGCTGATTTCTGATGGTCAACCAATAAATAGGTGACTGGTGTGGGGCAGCAATAAATTTAAACGAATTATTAAAATTAAATTAAACCGATGGATATCCATCCTCATTAAGTCAGTTGGTCATCTACGAACTGCATACCGACAGACAGATGAGACACTGCAATCAGGCTGGATGGGGCTGGTCTAACCAGCGTGGACAACGCATAAATGTGCCGGTATATTTCAGTTTGGCCACCGTTCTTCAAGGCGTAAGAATGCCTTGGCATACAGGTGCCGGATGTTCAGTTTCATGAGGACAGCAACCCATATCAAGGCTGCCAAGGCACCTATTTGAAGGTCTTGGAAAACAGAATCCAGCTGAATAAAAGGTCCCAGCATTTTTTTCCGCAAAGTCGAGCACCACTCGCCAAGACATAACGGTACCACGGCACTAAAGACACAAACGCACCGGCACCCTTATGAAGTTCGGTATCACGAAGAAAGCTACCCTCATCAAGGCTGCTGTAACACCTAAATGAAGTTCTCTCTGGGCCCTTACTCTGGGCCGACAATTCCCTACTTTATAACATTTTATGAAATCATCCAAGTGGCGGGACATAAAAATCCCTTGCTTTTGTGCAATGGAGCAAAGAAGTAGATATAATAATCACGAATTTGCGACTAACTAACCACAACAGGGTTAGCCTTGAGTTTATTATGGTCACCATTAGTTTATATGCCAAATTTTTCAGAAGTGTCATTAAATCTTTTTCTCTGAGTTTACTCTTTTCTGCTGTTATAATTAATTATTATTAAACCATCGAAATCAGATAAAAAAACAGCGACACAGGCACTGGCGCGTCGGGAAATTTCTCAATAATCCCATTCGCCCCTAATGGCAATAAATGTAATTAAACACATTATTAAAATCACATTAAATTGACGCCGGTGATTGTCAAGATATAATTTCTAGCGACCCTTAAATCCACAGTCACTGGTGATCTATCACTGGCGAGCTTCAAATTCATTAGTCACTTGAATAAAGTCACTGCCGTAGGATAGTGCTATGTTTCAGGCAACGATAATATTCCACATTGGTTCATGAATGCATAATTGTCGAATGTAATGCAAATCTCCAAAAGTTTAGGAAGATTTCACTCAGGATGTTTCTAACATCAATTATTTTTATTCTAATACAATAACATTTTTATAGCTAAATTAATCAAAAACATCTACAATACCATACAGAATTACCCTTACAAAATTTGTTCAAAATATGTTACTGTTTCTGCAATATGGAAATAATTACAGCGTAGTTCTTTTTTCTTTATCTGCAAATCTATATTTCGAACAAGCATTCTATATCACCATTCGGTACCTTTGTTATTCATGAAATATAATTCCATTTTAATATCCTAAAATAATTTAAAATGTTTGTAATCCAAAGATTTATATTTAGAAATATACTTTGCGCCAAGAAACTGCTTTGTCTCCATTTTTCTTGCACTGGATATTAAGAGATTTATATTTACCTTTGTGGGGAGATGTCGAATCCACATATTGTGCATTAATAGTTGGAGTGCCTGCATAAGATGGTGACGTAGTGGGATCAGAGCCCGGTGTTGGCGTGGGTGTGCCATGGGAGTCGATGCCATTGGTCGTGCGATAAGACATGGATCCAGGACTTCCAAAGCCGTTGGTCTGACGCGCATCGTGATTGGATGTCAGCTGCTTTTCCTGCAGCTTCATATGCACAAGAGAAAGGATAATAATTAGAAATTTCAGTACATAAACAAAAGAAAGGTTTGCACGTTAAAAAACCCCATTAGTTTTATATCATATATCTGTACCTCCGTAGACAAAAGTTATTAAGTCCATAATAATCAAATTTGAGATTTTTGCACCGCTCACATTAGATTCGTGAATATTCCTTCCGCTATTGCATAAACCCATTTTCAGAAGCACACTCTCTTCTAATGTGATGCATGCACTAAAATAAAAATGACCAAACTGACTTGTATTTTGTAGAGTTTCCCTTTTTCTACTAAGACAGAGATATTATAGTACGTACTAGCAGCAACTACAACAATAGTTTTCTACCTAAACACCAAGATTAACAAAACACAGTTAAAAATAAACCTATATAGCTCCGGATTTTCAGCTTCTGAAATTGGTACACTGCGGGGGGGGGACAGTTCTACACCTCCCGTTCTACTACGCAGATTGACGAAATTTAAATTGCTTTTCCCATGTCTCAAAAGCGCGACTTAGGATATGTATTAGATTTATATATAGCATTGTTCTAACACAGGTAATTTGACACAAAATCGGACTTTTTTCTGAAATGACGTGCCAATTTTTTTCCATATTTCTATTCTACGACTCAAATTATGCCAAACCGCCAAGTTTTGTAAGTCGCACGAGTAGTTTTTAAATAATTAACTCTCAAAATTTTAGCTCCTCAATGTTAATTCGATTTGGTATGTATTTATTAATATTTCTTTTTTTATGACACTTACTTGATTTCTTCTTTCACAATTTGAAATTTAGGTTCATTAAGATAAAATCCATCCATTTTTTACGATTTATTTTTAAAATTTGTATTTTTAAATAATTTTTATAAATTTTTGGAAAAAAAATTTTGAATTATAACCTATAAAATTTTTACCATCATTTTAAAGTAGATGTATTTCTAAGTAAACCTGCAAAAAAAATTAGAGTTTGTTATTTAAAATTTTCGAAGATATACGTGAATTCATATATTGGCGCGTTTTGAAATTTGGCGTATTTGTTGAAAGCGATAATAACATCTAATGTGGTTTACGCACTTTGTTAAAATTATTTGAAAGTAAGAACGATGTGACTTTTTTCCCGCTCAATGCACAATGTAAAAAGGTAGGATTGATGTGATATTTTTTCCCGTTCAATGTACAGTGTAAAAAGGTAGGATCGATGTGACTTTTTTCTCCGCTCCTGCACAAGGGAAGGAAAAGGAAAATAGGTTGCCATATATTAAGAAGTTCGCCAAGTGACGCAAATTTAAAAAATGCTCCAAGCTAAAGTTTTGAATTTCTCCGTACATTTCACACCAAATTTTACAAAATTTAATATCTAGACATATAATTTGAGTCGTAGAATTGAAATATAGAAAAAAAATAGTATGTTATTTAAGAAAAAGTTGATTTTGTGTCGAGATACCTATGTTAGAACAATGCTATATATAAATCTAATATATATCCTAAGTCGCGCTTTCGAGACATGGAAAACGCAATTTGAATTTCGTCAATCGGCTTATTAGAACGGGAGATATAGAACTGTCTTTTTTTTTAGTCTAAAGAGATTTGAGTCTCCGAAGGACTATTACTTTCGTTTCGGCATTTTGCTTCGGACTCCTAAGAAACTGAAGGAAGAAAATAACGTAACAACTGGTGTCAGAAGAATAAAAAACGTAACAACTGGTGTCAGAAGTGGGATTTGAGGGTGAATGCTAGTGACAAGACCAATGGACGATCTATTAAGACAGCTCGTGACTGCCTTTGCTGAATTCCAAGAAAAGATGGAAGCCGGACAGGAGAAGTTGAAAGTCGGATATGCTGAGATAGAAGCCGGATATGCTGAGATAAAAGCCAGATGTGCTGAGATAAAAGCCGGATATGATGAGATAAAAGCTGGATATAAAGAGATAAAAGCTGGATATAAAGAGATGACAGCTAAGATCAAAGCCGGACTAGAAGAGAAGAAAGGCCTACGAGAAGAGCTAAATGGCGGCCAAGAAAATGGGCGAGAGCAACTCCTAAAGCTGCAAGTGGAGCTTATAGAAGAAACTGGAGGCATAAAAGACGATGTGGAAATGAGAGAAGTAGCATCTAAAGAACCAAAGGATGAAGAAAGAAAGAAGTAGCTAATGAATTGCCTAAGAAAGATCAAGAAATGATGGAGGAAACATCTAACGGGATTAAAGAAAAAGAATGAAAACATGAAGAAATAAAAGACAGGAAAGAAGCTTTTAATTCTCAAGTGCCTGAAGTGGAAGAAAATGAAAATGCGACTGTTCAGTTCGTGAAAACTGATAGTGAAGTTACGAAGTCACAGACAGTAGGTGTTGAACCATCTGAAAGTGCATGTGATGCAAAGATGGGAGAAGATGATATACAGCTTAAGCAGTGCGCTCCAGTATAGCAAGAAAATTCATCCATTTCACAAACTGTGCGTATGCCTGATAGTGCAGGTTTTGCAGACAAGGACTTGATTTTGATTCGAAACCCGGATACTTGCGTTTGTAAAGTATCGGGCTCTGTTCATGATTCTGATGCAGAATTTAGAGCTGGTTTCCAGGGACCGCTGGAAAAATGAAGATTTACCAGATGCTGAAAATACCGAGGCGAACTGTATGCATGCTGCGAATGAACGACAGAGTGTTGAACAACCTGTTTCAGATCTTTCTGTGGATGGAAAGTCTCAAAGAACTGAATCTTCAGACTGTGATATGCAAAACATAATATATCTGAGAACTGCAGTGGAAAAGTAATTGACCCGGGTATATTTTAGTGAATAGACTGAGACTGAAATTCATTCTGAATTTTAATTTTGTAGAAATTTAAAATTGTGATGTGTTTAATTTGTGTATGTAACTTGTACATAGTGTAAATATTTGTTTCATTGTTTATGTTATCTGTTTGTTTTTGTTTGTATCGAATTTGGCTTCTCACCAAGTGTTGTACTGCCCGGGACGTGCAATCCTTGGGAGGGGGCAGTGTTACGAAATATAAAGGCGCGGTAAAATGGCTTTCCCGCAAAGCAGTTTTAGGGTTGCCATAAAACGGCAAGGGAAGGCAGAGTTGCCGCATTTGGCGATATTTGACGACAAAATTGGCGATATGCCATGGATTGATGGAGAACCTTCTGGAACGAATTCTTACCGGTTTAGCCCACAAGGTTCTCGAACACAAGCCAGAAGCTATATAAAACCTGCTGGTACGCGGATAGTTAGTCAGTCCGTGTTGAGTCGATCGAGTTGATAGTCGGTCAGCGAGTGCCGAGTGGGTCGTCGAGTGCACCGAAAGAGTCTCGTAGAGTATCGCGGTTAGCGCATCGTCGAGAGAGCGTGTTGAGCTCCGGAAACGACTGAACCGAAGAGTCAGGAGCTGTGCTCTGTGTGTCGTCGAGTGCATCGCGAGTTATAGCGTGGTGAGTCTCGAGAGTACGTGGAGTTCCGAGAACGACCAAGCAGAGTCGGGTGCTTTGCAGGAAGCTGTCTCCAACGTGATAGCCTGATAACCTGAAGGCTGTGTCGTTGATCGTGTCAGCATGTTTATAGTAGTTCATCGACGATTGTAAAACGTGTTTTGGAGCTGTCCTGACAATACTGGTTAATAAAGTGTGTTTCGATACTTCATCAAGTGTCGTCGTTATTCACTCCAAATCCAAGAATCCCGTACGAACGTGAAGGAAGAAAATAATGTAACAACTGGTGTCAGAAGAACAAAAAAAAAAAAAAAAGTAACAATATAAAACCTTTTGAGTAATCGTCATTTTTGTGATTTTTCCTTAGTTAATGATAACCAGTGTATTTTGGAATCATCAACACATCGGAACAATTGTTGTATTTTTACTACATGCTAAAAATCACCACAGTCATTGAGGATTGTTGCTGGGTAGTATTCATGAAAACTGCTTTTAATTGCTGAATTACCATACACAAACGAAGGCTGAAGCATTCAAAATATGCAGCCTATAGTAGTTTTAAAGATAAAACATTTTTTTTTAATGAAAGAACAATCTAAACTGCCGTTACATGCGCGATAAGCTTTTAAATGAGGATACATCACTTCGCGTGAGTACTCAGGTATCTTGTTCAGTTCTTGGTGTGTGGAGTTAATTAGAAACAAAAAAGAATTATGAAAGAATACTGTCATTTTATAATAAATATAATTTAATTTAACGTAAGACAGCTTATTAATTGTGATGAGAGTTAAGCTAATCCCTACATCTCTGCAGAAAGCAGGTGAACAGGTTTGTGAACTATTTTAGTAATTGTGATGAGAGTTAAGCTAAGTCCTATATCTTTGCAGGAAGAAGGAGGTTTGTGAACTATTTTCTCAAAGTCTGTTAAGTCTGTTCACAAATGCTTGCTCTGGTGTACTATAGTATGTCTAGTAAGTCAGTACCTATGTTTAAAGAGAAAATATGTTACGTTGTAACGTATTTTCAAGGGCAACTATGACACATAACAAAAGCTTATTCTTTACCATTTATATTTCAGGTAACTGAAAATGCCTTCAATTCTTAGAGAGAGCTAAAATCGCAAAAAGGCGTGAAATTAGGTGGTGAAGGTTCAGCATTGGTGGAGAAGAGAAAGGAATAAATGCGACACAGAACACAAAAACCATTACAAGCTGTTAACGTGTAAATTAATGAAAATAGGTTCTGTACTGGATTTAGCATGTTCCGATCGACCATCAATACCACATTTTGAAGAAAATGTTACCCAAATATTAGCTATGTTTGAAAAAAGCTCTTGAAAGTCCATCCGTCAGACACCCATAGAAAGCAGGCTAACACGACATACCATTCACTGAGTGTTAAAGAACGATTTGAAATTGCATTCCTGGAAGGCACTTTACATCCAGCATTTCTTTCCTAAGGACTGCAGCCGCCGTGTGGAATTTGTAGAAATAATTTTAGGATAGAAGGAAGATACTTCTGATCTGTTTGAAAACATTTTATGGAGTGATGAAGCAATTTTCTACTTTGATGGTTTCGTTAGCAGGCATAACTGTCACCACTAGAGTAATGCGGATCTAGGTGCTACTGTCGAAAAATGCATCCCAATCTTAAAGTAGCAGTGTGGTATGGAATGACATCGATCCAAATGGTAGGTCCTTATTTGTTAAAGAACAAAATTAACACCGGATGCTACTTCGATATATTTAAGAACTTTAAGTTGCTCAATGGGATAACAGCTCAGAGCACTTGTTCTTATTGTTCGCGAGTGGTTGGACAATCATTTCCCAAGAAGATGGATGCGACTAACGGAGTAGTCTGCTAAATGCTCAGATTTGTGATCTTTTTTCTGCGGGGTAAGCCTGCAGAAAAAAGAGTACAAGATTTATCCCAAAACTTGAGATGAGCTCGAAAGAATCCATGCTGTTCTGAACGTAGTACGCCTTGATTTCTTAAAAAAATCTGTGAATCATCTATCCATACGTTTGGAGAAGTGCATTGACAGTTCTGGTGGCTATGCTGAATTGTAAGGATGTTTTAAGGGGGATGGTAACAAATGCAGTGAGATGTCCATGGCAAAATTTTGAGTTTTTTTTATATTCATACCGCCTGTGATGCTGTTTAAAATAGGTAGTGACTTTTCAAACCCCTTATATTTTCTCAGACAACACATAAATGTTTGCTCTTTCGGAGTAGTTGATGACTTTGTTTGAAATTATTTTAACCGGGTTAGTTGGATAGGGTGTTACTTACAAAAAATGTTACAGTTACTATTTACTTACTTTTTCTTTATCTAAAGCACAGACGTAAAACTCTTCCGTCTTAACATTTTGAGTTTATTAAAGGCTGACAAAATTTTTATTTGCTTCAAAAACCTAAGCACTCTAAATGAAACTTTTTTGCCATCTTCAACTGCTAAGATTAAGTAATGTAAAATAAAACTTTCAAAATTACGTACACATTGTTTAAAACTTTCAACCCTTGTTTTACTTACACTAGTTGCCAATATAAAATATTCCTTCTTTGAGATAGCACTCAGATAATCTGGGACTTATAATAGGTTCAGAAATTTGAACTTTGAAATTTTAGGTAGATTATAATTCGATCAGTTGAAAGTTAGCCGGTTAATATTAGAAGTAAGTAGATATAATTAAAAGGCAAATTTTATATTTTTTATTATTATTTCAAAACAGAAAACTAAAATACGAATGAAATGAAAAAAAAATCGTAAAATGAAAAAAAAAATTTGTTCAAAACATTAAGAGAATTCTTTATCTTAATAAGATCTTTTGACCATTCTATGGCCATCATCGAACTGAATTTCGGAGTTTCAAAGCTTGTAATTCAGTTTGAAGAAAAGTTTGAAAACCCGTTACTGGTTACTGGCAGGCACAGAAATTTAAGATTTATACTGTGTACCTTAAGTTACAGTTGAATGTGAAGAATCTTAAGAACTAGTAAGCGAATAATCGCTTGAGTTCGTGAGACAGTAACTAAAACTTGGAAAGGGTTAAAAGACCCTTTATTATTCAAATAAGATTTAACAGAACTCCGTCTTGGAGTTTTACAATAAAGCCGACACTCGGGCTTGAACTTAGGAAACTAAGAATTAAAACTCAACTAATCTTGACTAAAAAGATATAGCCGAAGCTATCAAGATTCTAACGGAATTGACCCGTTAACGCTAATTGACTGCGAAGCTATTAAGGGCCTAAAGTATGGCCGAGCGTAATAATAGCTTATGAGAGTGTAGCCTAAAAAGGCGGACGCGTGCTAGCCAGAATCTTTGGTTCTCTCTCCCTAAGACTTCGCGGTTAAATACCGCTCTTCCTCAATTTGCATTCAAACGTTATTCTAAAACTACGTTCTGGCCGGAAGTGTTAAGTTGAAATTAAGAAGCGATAGGAAAGGAAGTTTAACTCAAAATTTAACTGTTAGATAAATAAATATAATTCTTACAAACTGTTGGCAGAGTTATGTGGTGAAGAGTTTACTTCAAATGAACTTTGGGCTATTCATCTTAAAACGTAAGGTAGGTTCACTATTTTTTAAAAAATAACTAATCTAAATTTGCAGGACTCTTGAAACTCGAGATCCTTCATGACTGCAGCATGCGCGACCTCATAAATCTATTCTAAATGTTGCACGTTGCCTGTCTTTTGTTTGTCTCTGCAAGAACGACAAAACAAAAACAGGTGAGATGACGTGAACTATTGGCTTTTCAAGCTATTTACTCAAATTTCTGCCTGATGATAGCTACAAAGTTGGTTGAAAGACCTAACTAAGGTAATGAATTCTGACTTTGAGAAATTCTTTGTACATTTCAACGTTCTTCTATACGGAAAACAAAACCATAAACGAGATACTTTCCTTTTCTTTTTTCAGTTTCTTTTTATGACAGCTATTAAAACATGTACCAAATCATGATGGAAAGAAACTACCTCGTTTTAGTTTAATATCTTTGAATCTGCCAAAGAGAATGCTATGTTTCAAAGTTTAAAAAAAAGTAGTTACATTTAATATTTTTAAAGAGATTTTATGCTCAAAAATTTCACTCAGAGGCAGTACAAACTGAGCTTCGTTGCATAGATAAAGAGACAGATATGCATGATTGTGCTGATGAGCAGAGCAAGGGGACAGTCAGCTACAGAAGAGCATGACAGAGGGAAGGATAAATGATTATGGAGTAGATAAAAATTATCTCCATATAATCTGACTTTTGATTTATATCCTGTCAGACAGCAGTTTTTTCCTCATTCGCGGTAAGAACCGCCTGGGAGGAGATGAATTCTTTTGCAAGATGATTTCTTCCTCCGCCATTCGCTATTAATCAACTCACCGTGGCCAGCTCCTCTTGAAGTTCCTTGATGTGGGCATCCTTTAGTCCAAGTTGAGTGCAAAGCAAGACAGCCCGCTCGGCCTCGTCCCGTGCTCGCTTCAGTATGCTCCACTTCTCGTGTTCCATCTCCTCCCGATCTTTAACCATCTGCGAACCAGAAGGGTAGGGAATTAGGAACTCTAGAAACAGTGCTATCAGCAAAGGAAATAAGCAGCATGGTTTCTAAAATATATGCGAATTATTGGGAGAAGAAACGTATAATAAATACGTTTACGTACCCAAAAGTGTACGTGTATTTTCCAAACCACGTTTCCTGGTGTGCTGATGCTTTGGTATAAGGGAGATTAAAAATTATATTGATACACGCTATTAAAAGACAGCACCGCCACCCACTTTTGACAGAAATGAAAGCAAAGCAAAGATACGAAAGATCGTGCACTGCGCTGAGAACAGAAAATCGAACAGCTCCATGCAGCTACCGTGACGTTTCAAAATGGTAGTTCCAGAATCTAACGACATTTAATAAAATTTCATTATTTATTTTATTTATTTGCCTTTTAAAACCACAGAGTGGAGTAAATAATTAGTTTGATAACGATTACAAAAATCTTCGCTAATAAAGTTATTAAATATTACACAGAGAAATGGCAGATAAAAAACTAGAGTTTGGAGACTTTACATCACAGTTTAACAAACATCTCGAAAACGAAGTTATTCCGAAATAATAACAAATAAAAACAGTACAAAACAATCTTTAAAAAATCTGATGTGTACACCACGACTTCCTTGTACGGAATATTAAATTATATGCATTTTTCCTTACATTTCATTTAAACTTATTGAATTGAATTAAATCTACTTCGCCGACAGCGCATAAACCACAATAGAATAAATGCATTCTTTAAAATTCACTTTAGTATTTATTTACTATAGCGACACACTGGCGCTAGATTCACTTAACAGTATTATATTTCGTTCATATTATAACTCACAATGCACAAAATTTATATCATTTAAAGAATAGAATTATCTAATCATTGCCACATGTTCTATTCAAATACTATAATAAAGCTAGAATAATGTATAAAAGAAATTAAGCAAACAAAACAAAAAAAGAAACAGTTTTTCACAGACGATTGAGAATTTCTCATTCAATTAATTAATTCAGTTCTCACTTCGCGAGAAGGCAAAAAATACATAAAAACTCAAAAATATCTATATTAAAAATTACGAAGTAAATCTTAAACACTCATTTCCTCGAAAAAATTCCAGAAAGGATTAAGCATGATTTAATTGGCAATTATAAATGAATGCGTTATCTTTGTTGTTGCGAAGCTATGTTTCTCTAGATTGGCAACAAATCCACTAGTCTGCTGTTTCAAATATAAACAATCAATGGCCGCCATAAAAAAAAAAAAAAAGAAAAAAAAAAAGCTTAGCGGCACTTAAACAACTTTAAAATGATTGATAATTCTAAAAATATTGCCTACAGATTTACTAAAGGCATAAAAACCTTAACCGGAAGATAAGAAAAACCTAATTCAATCATTTTTAAACCAAAAAATGTACAATTTACAACAATAAGAGTAAAGAAAAGAAACTGAGATCACTGAGCCGGGTAACAGAGTGGATATATATATAAATATATTTATACACGTTGGTGGTGCGGCCGATTGCAACCAAAATACGAGGTGCACATCTACATGTTATAGCAGTCCTATATACAAAATTTCAACGTTCTGAGGCTACTCGTTTTTGAGTTATGCGAGATACGTACGTACGTACATACGTTCGTACAGACGCCACAAAAAATTCTCTTCAGAATTCATTTTAAAGCAGTTTTATAATTTTTTTTTGGAGGAAACGAGTCTTTTATTCTGTCCTTACGTACAGATATGACGCAAAAACATCGTTAAATTTCATTCGATAGCGGTCAAAATGGATATTTTCGTTGAAATATGCTGCCTGAAACTTTTCGCGATTACAATACTTCCTTTTTACTTCGTACAAGGAAGTAAAAAAGCGCAATGTGATTTTTGTATCACATTCCAGTTCAGCACCTCAAACAATTTTAACCTAAATGGCTACGATAGGTCTACTAGTTTAAGAATGAATCACCTGAAATTCAAGATACAGAATCATGAAATTATATTTAAATTCCGTTGCTCAAAAACGTATAGCCAAACCTGCAGAAAAAACAGCCTTATTTTTCAGCTTTTACATTATAAGGAAAACATTATTCACTTATTTCAATGTATAACATTTGTATCATCTTATTACTTTTCTTCCAGAGTATTTTCTTTTATAGTATTTTCTTCTGGAACAACCAAGAATACGTGAGGCCATATTGTGAGCAAGATATTTTTCCTACTGAGTAACACATTCAAAAATGCAGGCTCATATAACAAGGCGAGAATGTCTTACATTTGAAGCGATATGATATGGATATGTTTTTAAATTCGACAATGATAACAGTTCTTTTAAACTGAACTCTCTTCATTAAGTGAAAATAATAAAGACATCTAAAATATACGTTTGTAAGAATATAAAGCACGAAGGAAAACTATTAATTTTAATTTAACAAGTCCTTTTAATCTGGCTATCTCCCCATTCTGTTCTACACTTTTTGTAATAATTTTTCTGGAGTGCGTCGATCCAAATTAATTCGTTTAATGTTTCTTATGTAGTCATGCTGAAAAGACAATGGCTTTCATCCAATTAGATTAAACTAAAAATCTTACTTTAAATACTACTGCTAGTATTTCGCAGGCCTCTTTCCCTACTTTGCTTGCTGCTTGGTCTAAAGTGATATAAGCTGTATAAAATCGCTAGGTGCATAACGCACTCGTAATGATATTATTGAACCGATTTTAATTATAGCATAAAACTGTGTTGAATCAATGCCACCTCCACTAAAGTTTTTCTTCATCATTATGTCATCTTAAGTATCTAGCGCATCTGTTTTTATAATTCTCAGGTCAACTACAGAATTATTATACATATATACATAATCATAAGGTGTCCAGCTAGTGTAATTTCACGGATGCAGCTATAGTAATAGAGCTGAAGTACTGCGTTTATTGCTTTTAAATCGCTTCACTTGTTACCCATTAACAGACAGAAAAAATTTCCAGTGGCAATATAGTTCTTTTAAATCTTTGAGTTTTTTTTAATTAAGTTTGAAATATAAATAGCTTACGATTTGCCGTATGGGAACACAAAGTTTTTAAATCGTCGAGTTTATTAATCAAAATGCTATTAAATTCGAATAAAATATAAAATAAATGAAAAAATCAGAAATTTAAAATTCTGGCTTGCAGATGCACCTAACTGCAAGCGAGATGCCTATAAATTGTGTCCGAAATTCGGTGGCTCTAGGTGCGACTATTTTTCATAGTACCAGAAACCTACACACATACAGATTCTTCACTGAGATTAGCAAAATAAATTATATCGGCACATGAGCTTTAAAACAGAAGTATTTTTGTTGCCACAAGGTCTGAGATAAATACAAGGGGTATAAAAATAAATGTTAAAACTATACGGCAATTGCCATACGTGAGCATACCACATATTACACCTGAATTAAAAGCACGCACTCATAATAGCAGAGGAAACCATCAGCGGAACAGAGCGTCGTACGAACTTATTTCATTTTCTCGTTTTTCAGTAAAGGGATTATAATAAATTTTTTAAACCATCTTACTAAGAAAACTAAACATTGTTATGATGAACTGAGAAAAGACTGAAAAAAGGAGAAAAATGTATGCCAACACTTAACACTGCATCGAGAATTTTAAGCATATGCTGCTATGCTGCTTTTAAACGTTTTGCGATTTCGCCGTTCAATTCGAATTGAGCATGGCATAAGTGTGAAAAAAAGTCATATTTAATAATAAAGCTAAAAAGACGAAAAAAATTTTAGAAGGGAAGGAATAGCTAGCAGGAGTGAGTGCAGCAACATACTGGTAGACTGCGAACTCAAAGCGAGCGTAAAAAACCTTAACAAACGCTTTTCTATTACTATTATAATCTACAGTTTTATTTTTCTTATTTAATGAACTGCAAGATTACAGTAGTTCTGTAAAACGTTTTTCATTTTGGAAATTGCTACCCGCTAGCGAAATTAAATTTTGCAGTTCACTGAAATGTTTTCTGGCATTAAACATTACATCTTGCATTCTCTTAAAAACATTACTTAATTGTGCTTTTAAAATATGAGATTTCATGCGAGGGCAAAAAGAAAAATAAATAAAAAAAAAGCTGAATCAGTGTGAAGGAACGGCAGTTTATTATTTTGCTGCAAAATACTTTATAATTAACTGAAGAATAATGGAAAGATATTTTTATTGTTTATAACAAAGCTTTATTTTTAAAATTTACATAATATAAGATAAAACACATTCGAATACATGCGCTGAAATTATAAAATGGTTCCAAATGTTACTTCTTAATTCCTAATAACTTATTTTCACTATAACAATAAAAAAGAAATTTCATAATACCTCTTCTCCTCCCAGGGCCGGATTAAGGGTGTCGTAGGCCCTAGGCACTCCAGCAGCGTAGGCCCCGAAATAATAAACATTTTTTAACTGAAATTGACCGCTAATATTAAGTAATAATTTTGTTGTAGATATAAATCCGAAAATGTGATGATGCGGTAAAATAACATTATTTTATTTTGGGATTTTAATGTTTTTATTTTTCATAGAGCCATTTTCAATAGCCATAATTCCAGAATTGAGTTTATCTGCAACAATGCAACTTTTATATCTACCAAATTCCATGCAGAATTCCAGGGTTTTAGTACATGAACATGACAAGACATTAGCCGCCGGGAAAACCTCTCGGACGAGCACATGCGTTTGACACAGTTGGCCACGTTTCCATGCCCACTACCAAACGCTTGCGCGCGATCGAGAGGTTTTCCCTGCTGCTAAGGTCTTTTGTTTTAGTAGCTCAGTTGTGTAATAAGTTAATATGTAAACTACGATAGAGCGTGTATGCCTGTGCTTGTATTTAATCACGCTCAACCCCAAGCCAATCTTTAGTTTAAAAACTGGAAGTTAAATTTATTATAAGTAAGGTAAGTAAAGGAAAGTTGTTTTTTATACTCTACTTATTTCAACCTAGTTTTTGATTCTGGA